CCTGCTTGCAGGTCAGACGCTGTGACTGTTATAGCAGAACTTTCTGCAAAAGGGATCTTGGTATAAAATAAGTACGTTTGAGATTATAATATATAATCACTTTTTGTTTGCTCCTATATATTAGAAAGTGAAGTCAGACTGTATTTCTTCAAGAGTACTTCCTCCTTTTCTTATGCATTTCCGTCATATATTTACTTAGTAAAACCTTACATAATGTTAAATGGATGTATTAATGGCTGAGCTTGTGATCTACTTATGCATTAAACTTTACAGTATTTTGCCAAATACTGTATAAAAGCTAAATCATGAGGTAACAAAACAGGTAAAAGAAAACAACAGTAGATATTCACAGTTCTGATTTTTGTTTGTTTTAGTCATTATATTGATGATTTTGGTTAGAGAAGCAGCATATCCTATTTACTGTCAGTTAAGGGACAAATGCAGAAGATGGTCTTCCAGGTTAAAATGCTTATTAATTACAACAGTTTAAAAATAAGTGGAATTTTGCCCTGATATAATAATGTAATAAGATTTCATTCTGAAGAGGTGACAAATGTCACCTCTTAATAGAGGTGGCCTCCTTCCAAATAATGGAAATCACCAGAGAAGAAGGAGCCTCAGTGCTCAGGCGGGTCAGATCTGGCCTTCCAGCTGGAAGACCCATGTGTGAAGTGGGGTATGATTTCAGGTGTCCTCTTGAAAAACGTGGTATTGGCTTCCAGAATTACTTGCGAGGCAATGCCCATGTGGGACGAGAGGGTAGGAGCTTCATTCAGAAGCAGCAGCAGCTTTGGTGTCCGCGAGCGGGGCTGCGTGTGGCCGATGACATTGCAAAAAGAGACAAACTCCGTTGCTCGGGTGGGAAGGCGTCAGACTGGGTTACAATGTGGCAGAGCCCTGATTTCATCCCAGAGCCACCAGGCCATTTGCACTTACAAACAGTGTTTAATTACAGCGCCTGGTGCTCTTTCCTGTGCGTGTCACGTGCTCTCAGAGATCCATAGGGTTGATGGTGGAGGTCACGAATGGAAAAGTTACTTTTTCTGAGACGGAGGATTTGAGGGCTTGCAGTAAAACAAGTTTATTTTTTGGACTGTGTAATATGAACAGCAGTCTTTCCTGAGACAAGAACTGAAGTGATTTTGACAAGACATTCACAAAATTTGTGAGGATACGTCATTAAACGGGTTGTTTTAAATTCAGCCTTGGACTTAGGAGGTGCCAAAACTGCTGCTTACAGAAAGTTAGGAGTTATCTTTGCTCTATTCCCACCCACTGCTGTCCAGCATTGAAGGAGAGTACAGGGTCTTGATGAACCTCATAGGATAGCTGTGATCCTCTAAGACTCCACGCTTTATATGATGCACTTTGTACTTCAAACTCATTTGAGCCTTGCTTTAGACCGGAAGTAATGTAGCTGCTTAAGAGATTGGGAGGGAGGGGGAAGGTGTTTTTATGAATGTAGTCATTCATCATCTCTCTTAGGAGAGTATAACATGTTGCCCTTATTTTGATCTTAGGAGAGTATAACATGTTGCCCTTTATAAATGTTAAAAGTGCACATCATTTTTAAAGAGGGGAGGGTTGTTCTTTGTATATGCTTACAAAAGGAAAAGACCTGAAAAATAGTAAGAGCTTTGGCTACTAGATTTTTTAGAGCTAGGACAGAGGAAACGAGTAATTTTTTGTGTGTTTGGCAGATTTGCAGAGTTTTAGAAATGTTGTACTATACAGGTTAGAAGGTAGATCCATTCAGGCAAAACTCACTTACTTTACTCACTTCATGCTTAAATAAAATGTAACCAAAAAAAAAGAATAGACCACTCTTAATGAGGCACTGCTGTGCCTGCCCTCAGTATCCAGGCTTTTGGGGAGAGAGGAGGGGAGGTTATTTTATACTTCAGGTACTATTCAGGTACGAAGTTCTACTAATATTTTCATACCATGTCTTTTCTGTTTGCAGTTCCTCAATATTCTTTGCAAAAAAAGTGCATTTTGTAGTTGTGCGCTTAGGCATAATACTGCTTTTCATATCACTTGCTATCGTGTCACTCCGCAAAACCTGCAGTTATACATCTTGCTTGTAAAAGATGCTAACAAGGTTTTAAAGGCCCAGTGCTTTATTCATTGTCTTTTGTACGTGCATTGCTACTGTCTGTATGGCTTTACTAAATTGCCAGATGTTTTTATAAAAGGCAATATATTCTTATTACTTTGTTTTACATTTGTTTTAAAAAATGATGGAAAATTCCATGCTGGAGGATTTTTTTCTTTAATTATTATTATTGAAAAGCTGTTCATGGCTAGGGGTGCCAGTAGTGATGGACATGTTTTGAATACCAATTCCAAGGAATTTCTGTGGGATTTAGATGCTTATTATCTTGCAGCTTGCAATAAGGGGTTATATCACATGTGCTCAGTGATCCAGCAGGCAACACCATACATTAAATCACAGTTCTAACTGTGTTGCATATTCAGCACAGTAGGCACTCAGGAACTCGCATGTTTGTTAGGTCCGGATTTCTTTGGGCTTGGTATTCCAAATTCTGCTTTTGTAGTATGCCAAGTATTTTTAATTAAGAAATCTCTAGGAGACGTGTTAGAAACAAACAAACAAAAAAAAAAACTGACTTTACAGAGATAGAATTTATTTTCCTTTGCAGCTCCTGTCTTTCTCTTGAAAGTCTGAGGAACGGCTTTTCCCCAAGTCTTTCTTTCTAAAGACTTGAGCAGTGCAGTTTCTTCTCACTGCTTTAGTTTGTTTTGTTTGGAGTAATGATTTTCTTCAGGCAGGTTGTTGGATGTCCTGGGACGAGACACAAATGACCTTAATGACCTAGGGGGCTGCTCCTTGTCCTTTTTCTTATTGCTGTGGTCATCTTCAATTTACTTAATACTGTCTGGTTAAACTGTTTTTGCAGAATTGCAACTGGACCTTCTTGTTGATGTGTAATATATCTGAACAGTGTGCAATCCTTTACATGTGGAAAGAAAACAGGAAAAAAATCTGGACTGTAAAACATTAATCACTTTTAAAATTACAAGAATTGGTGTTTGCTGCTGCTCCTATCTTAAGTGAAAAGGCTGTGTTTTAGTACTTCAGGTGCTTGCCAGAATTACTGACAGAGCATTTTTAGTCCTCATTTTGAGCAAACAATTGATTTCTCTTGTGCTCAGGCCTCACACAGTTACTGATGGTTGCATTTTTTTTTCCTCTTTCTCCCTAGCTATTGGAACAAATTGATTATTCAACTGATTGCCCAAATTGTGGGCGGGCGAATGAAAATCAAACCAAATGCCGACATTGTGAAAATGTTTCTCTTAAGCATTTGCAAAGAGTCTCCAGGCAAACTGTGACATTAGGTGAATCCGTGGGACCTTTATCGCGTTCTTCAATACATCAGAATTCAACAGGGCAAAAACCTTCAGGTACAGGGTTCAACACAAAGAAGTTTTATAGTTCTACTGTTGGGAAAGCTCCAGTGGATATTCTCCTGAGCAGTGATGTTGTAGGACATTCGATGTTACGACAGAATGGAAAAGTTGGTCTTATAACTGCCACAAAAGGTCCTAAAATTACAGGAAACCTAAGACAAAGGAGTACAAGGCCGTCTGAACTAAATGATCCAAGTAAGTACCCTTTCGTGAATATAGCCATAAACTGAAACCCCAAAATATGCTACCATGGAAGAACCTATAGTCACAATAGTTTACTGACTTTACTTGGATTTTTTTTCTGGGATTTGAAGGGTAGATAGACATACTTTTGCCCCCCCCCGTAGTGAGGTACTCTCTGAAAATTAATAAATCAGTGTTGGGAAGAACGAAATGTTACTTCTTTAATCTTGAAAAGATACTTCTACTTTTTTAACTTTTTTTATTTAGTATTCTTAGCTAGACTCTTCATTCTCACAAAGAGAAAGGCAATTTTTGATTTATTTTGTTTCCTTTTGAGTTATGTATTGCAGAGATATCCCAAGAGTGTATCCAAATGCTATCTTTAAATTTCATGTTTAAAAATTAATCTTTATCTGTGTAACTACACTCTAATTAATAACCATGTAGGGATTGGAATTTGAAAAAAAAATGGCTACAGTTCCCTTATTAGTTTGCTAGACCGCATGGTCTTACTGATTTGAACAACTTAAATCATGATTTCTCCAGTCATTTTTTCTTCACGTTGCTTGTATTACACAACCTTGTAAAAGCTAATCTTTCCAGCAGAAGAGGCTCTAATTAGACTTGTGTTATACAATTCACTGTTGGCTCTTTAGAGAATCCAGGAATGGGTGGCCACATTTCTCTGTCTTGGTGGGGAATTTCTTGTACAGTTAGTTATGGGAAACAAAAAGTGAGTGAAAGAGAGCCTGTGAGCATATTCTGAATAAATATCAGTAAAAACATAATATGATGGTAAATGTGGACTGCATTTAGTACTGCAGGACAATTGCATAAATTACTTTTAAGCCATTGCTTAAAAATAAATTTCTGTGACAGAAAATTGTAGTGGTTGAGAATTTATTATTTTCTGTTTAGTTGTTTTGTCTAGTGATGATGATGATGAGGAGGATAGTGGCAGCACTAGGAGAATGGAAAGCATTTCACCTCGTCCTGCAGATTCAGCCCGCTCCTCCCCAGCTCCTTCTACAGGAAAGGTGGAAGCAGCATTAAAGGAAAACAGTTGTGGAATAGAACAGAGAATAGGTAGTATTACAACAGATACAGAAATTGCAGTCACACTACCAAGAAAAGCAAGAATGAAAGATCAGGTACTGATTTAACACTTTGTTTAAAGAAAACAAAAGTCAAATCATAAGTCGGAAATGTAAAGGCTTGTCTTGCATTGTCAGAAATTGACTATATTTTATTATTTTTCTTATTTAGCAGCTCATCAAATAGTATTTCTACTTACCCAAATGCTGGAAACCTATGAAAATTTGTTCAGTAAATTTTTATGTGAACATTCATGGTGATTTAAATAATGCTTTTGACATAGATTCTTCTGGGTCGAGTGTGTGCTTTTTGAGACTACAGGTCAGGATATCTATGAAATTCAAGGGCTGCCTTAGTTTGCAGAATATCAATACCAGCTGCATAATGGTAAGAGTTTGGACAGGATAAGTCAAACATGAAAAGAGACACTGAGAACAATGGCAGCCTTTTAAAATTCAAATACTTTGACAACTGTCCCAATTAATAGCACTTACTTTAAGGATTTCATGGTGGGGCTTTTGTTTTTTAGTTGAGCACCACTGCAAGAATTGGATAAACAAAGGCAAAAAAATGCACCATGAGCAGACTCCTTAAGTGCTGTCAAAGGGGACAGCTTTCACGGTATGTTAAAGACTTAACAGCATTGATAGAGAGCCATTAAGAAGGAAACATTCCCTGTGACAATTGGCGTCAAGTTAGTAGTGCTGCCTGGAACTTTGGATCCAGTCCAAAGTCTGAGGATTGTGGGGTTTGATCCAGTAAACATGTCTGATCCCATTTCTACCTGCAGTCTCAAATCCTTTGTGCTTTCTGCACTAAATGAATGATGATAAAACTTTTGTGCCAAATCACGATTCAAAAAGCACCACTGTAGTGCTGTAGCTGGTGGAACTCTGTGTGTTTAGAATGTGGTGTATAGCTGGGCACTGCTGTCAGCGTAAAGCTCTGAACCTGCAGCCCGCAGCATCAACCTGCGGGGCTGAAAACTTGCACAAGCTTTTGAATTTCGGTTCCTCAGGAGTTACCTGCAGAATGTATTTAAAACTTTGTTCTGCGTGGATACGGGTGGCTGAGCCTTCTGCCATCTCGCTGATTCCCTTTGCAGATCCTTGCATTGCTGCTCACTAGCCTTAAAGAACCAGTTGTTACACTGGAATTTTACTGCATATTTTAGAGAACAGTAGAAAAGAGGTTGCCTTGTGAAAATGGGGTTATAGTATTACTTCTGAAACAGTGTAAACTTTGCCCAGGTTCAGTGAAACTACGAAGAATTGCAGGTATCACAGTGCATTTTTGTCAGAAGTTACAAGGAAAAGCTTACCCGAGTTTTGTTTGTTTGTTCTACATATTTGCTAAATCCTCACTGAAGTGGTGCCTTCGCTATCGCACTGCTCTGTGCTGCTGCTTCTCTGTGATTTCTGAGCTTTGAGTTTCTCATTATATTTACCTAGTGTAGCAGACAAAATGAAAAGCTGTCTTGAGCAAGAATCCTAGGAAGAGATGTTAATTACAGAGATCTGTATCTTCTCTCTAGTATTTAAGATGGAGTATCTGAAAATGTCTTACAAATTATGGCAAAAGAAGCTAGTCATTAGTGACTTTGTAATAATTCTTCAGATTTAGTCTTAATAGAAATATCGAGTCCCTTAAAACTTTTTGGAGAGCTTAATTGTATTTTGAAACTCAAAAGAATGTTTGTTGATAGTTGTTTTTATAAAAAGAGAATAACTGCGATTAGCATACAGAAAGCTCTTCAGCAAAAGTTTTTTACATAATAAAAAGTAAGTTTTACAAGAAATAAATATAGTCATATGATGGCTATTATCCGTCTCTTTTTCTTTTGATACTTTTTTTTTGTAAAAATGTTTTGTTGGTAAAACTGAGACATTGAGATTGCAGCTTCCAAAACGTCCAAAGATCTTCTTGAACTCCAGCCAACCTCCATGCATCTTCTGTCAGTATTTTAGCTTTCTGATCATGGAGTCCTTCTCAAAAACATTTTAATAGCTCTAAAGAATTCTTGTAAGGACCTCTAAAGTCTTGTTTTTTGGGGGTATTTGGGGGGGGGGGAGGAATGTTTTCCCGTAAAGACTGTACATTTGTTAAATGTTCATTATACTGCAACAATAAGTTGGTGGTTTTAGTCATCCAGTAAAACAAAACAAAAACTCACTTAGGATGCCCTTACAAAATTTTTCATAAAAATGACCTTGTTATGCCAGGCCGTGCAGTGTGTCAATGAAAGTGAAATAAATGTTGACAATTTTAGGGCTGCTATTTGTGACTTGCAGATGCCAACAGAATGTCTACAGGTGTCAACTAACTTTTTCTTGACTCTGGCAGTATAAATATCTTTAGACAAAACATTCTTTAAGAAATTTAAACCATTTGTACATGTTTGAGGTGGATGTTAGAGTGTGTAATCCTGCTGAGCAACTGAAAAGTAGCTAAAAATTAGTTACTACTCCTTAAAAATATGTCTAACAAGAAATTTTACTGAGACATTCTGACACCTTGAAAATTGCTTTTCAGTTTGGCAACATTGTGTCTAACACTCCAATAAAACGTCGCAAAGTTATTTCTCAAGAAATTGTAACTGAAACAGTACCTCTAACTTATCAAAATGCCTGTGAAAGCGTCATTCTGAACTGCCGAAGTATACGAATAGGAACCCTACGAAGAATGGTGGTTGAACCTGTAATTGTAAGTAGACTTGTTACATGGCAAATTCCCTTTCAATTTTTGGAGTAGAGGTTATTTTCATACTTGAGCCACTTAATACTTTGCTTTTTTTTCTGCGGGACAGCCATCTTGTCTCTGATTTCGGTTAGAGGGCTGCAGTTTTCAAAGAAATTAGATTTGCACTACTGTGTACTAAAACAGACTATCTAGATTGGGTGTTTCATGGAAATATCACACCTGCAAAGCCCTGTCTTCTTCATTTGGGGATGGGAGAAAGTGTCCTATGGATTAGTATCTGTTAGGAAAACTGAAGGCAGCAGGTACCAAACAAATGATTATTGATAAGTGAGAAGAGGAGCCATGACATTTTCTGCAGGTGAAAAAAAAACAGTTCTGTACTAATTTTATTTATTCATTTATTTATAATACCTTCTGAATTATCAAGAGACTTTCAAGGAGTCTTGGAATGCTGGTCAGTGCTGGGTTGCAGTGAGCCAGGTGGCTTGCATGCTTCTTCCTGAGGCAGCCTGAATACAAAGTTATTACTTGTTCTTTCTGCCCTCTGGAAAACCCTGTTATTTGATTTGCTTAAAGAATTATTCTGAAGGCTTTTCAGAGGCCATGTATAATATTACAGTATGTTTTGAATTTTGGGGTTTTTTTTCCCCCCACACAATTACTGTTTGATATTTTTTCCAGAGTATTTTAAACCTTTTAAAAGTAAAAGTACATGTAAGAAAAAATCTTAATGTTTCAACAGTTACAGAGACACTGAATAGTAAAGTGCGTAGTTTTTATATTGATATATGTCTTGTTGATTTGGTTTTAAATTTTGCTTTTTATATTTTAAAATAGTCATCGTTTAAGTACTTAACTGCCAAAAGGCACTAAGTTAAATTGAATTTACAGAAAATATAAAATCTTATTATTGTGCTGTCTTTCACAGTTTTGCCTAGATTATATCAAAATACGGCTAGAAAGTCAAGAAGGTCAGTATTACTTTCTTCTTACATTAGTTTTCTGTAGGTATTTTTTGTATAAATAAACTTTGTCAAAAGCATTATGTGTGTATCATGATGAAATGTTGATTCTAGTCTTGTTTCTTGTGTAATAAATTGCTTCCTGTAGTCAGAGTAAAAATAAATTGAGAGTACAGATTCTACACAAACTGTCTGCAGGTTAGAAAACAAAAAAAAAACGAAAAAATTTTGCATAATCTCTTGTTTCTATTAGTAGATAGAAAATTTGCAGATAGTAGGAATCAGCAATTTGGTAGTGCTTGCTCTCAAGGGTCATTGATTTTTCCCCTCATCCTGGTTGAAGAACAGTGTTGTTT